CATATTGTGTTTCCTGGTGTTCATTTCAAGTCTTCCATGTATCTCCTCAACGTTGTATCATTCGCTTTCTCTGACATCAAATCTATCTGCCTGATATTTCATTTTTTTATGCCGATGAACGTCTCTTTAGATATTAAATATACTACTGATAAGTCTTATCAGTAGTACACGCCACACTACTACCAATAATTCTGTTCATTGTAGGGCTAAAATCGGTGTTACTGGAACAATCTGAGGAAGGATTTAGTCTCTGCTTTTTATAAAAATTTATTTAACTATTGCAACATTTGTTTATTACGAGTTGATCACGGATTGATATCAGTTAGAGAACCATTGAAAACCAGCCACAGGGAGTACTGGACAGCTGTTTTGGTCAGCCTAGTTTGGGAATCATCGGCTGTCCAGTACGCCCTGTGGCTGGCTGGTTTTCAATGGTTGAACTCGTAAAAGCAAATCTAATCCTTACAAACCAACTATTGAATATTGTAACACTTATTTATGCAATTGCGTGTCTGATATTTTCTTTTTTACTGTTTCAATGTTCAACAAGCCTAGCAACTATAAGTGTTTTTCCTTCATTTTGTCATAGATACATATGCTTATCTTTTTAAAAGCAAACTGCCAGAAGTAAGAGTTTCACTTTTTATGATGTTTAAGGATTAAGGAAAAGTTTCTAGATTATGTCCACTTATAGGATGTGTGTGCGTGTGAATAAAAGTGAAGAATGCTCTCCAACTGATTTTTAATTAAAAAATAAGGAGGAGAAATATTGCGTCACGAAAGTCATCTTCAGCACACGCCGTCCCATTCTGGCCCCACCCCTCTCCCCATCGCTCTTTAGTAGCTTCTTAGTTCAATTTGAATGGTGGCAACAGAAGGTTGGCAACAAGACATGTGGTCATTTCTCCATCATTTCTTCTTGGGTTTTTTTAATTACATTATTGCGCGCGCGTGTGTGTGTTTGTGTCACTTGTAGTCAAGTGAACTGTTGTTATGTGGATATATCAATCACTGGATGCAGAGGAGGGGAGATGAGGTGAGGTGAGGTTTGAATCTGACACGTGAACATGTGACGCAAATTGACCTACCACTCAAGCACCAGATGAGATTGCCACTTTGGAAAGAAAGGCATAAGCCGATGAATATTAATTCTATGTATGTGACTTTTGTGTTTTCAATTCTTTCCCCCCGACAAACCTCACCTTCTGTCCAATTAATGTGTGATTGCTACTAGTATTACTTAAACCCTTTTCAAATTTTTATAATATACATTAAGGTCAATCAGGATGGATTAATAATAATAAAGCAGGGGAATAAATGGAGTTTTGACCAGCAAACTAACACATTTGCCCCATCCTTGACCTTACTTAAATATATATATTAACCTTTGTTAAAATATGACGTAATCTGTCTTAAGGATTGACACGAACGCACTGTCACATACACATACACGCACAGACAAACACGGGCGCGCATTAATAGCTTGTGTCTACTTGATGAGTCTATTGGTATGCTGCGCAGATGGATGAATTTTTCATTATGTTGTCGTTGTTGTTGTCAGGCGAAAAATATGATGAATATTGCGCAAGTTAGAAAAGTTTGTCTCATTTTCAAATAGCTTAAGTTATTGAAATCATATGAGATGAATAGAGATTTTTGGTAAATTCATTTTATACACAGTGACATTTACATCCCTTCTACTTATGCGCACGCCTCCAATCTGTTAGGATTACAAACTCTTGCATTGAGGTAACCAGTGGAATCGAACTGATATCAGCTGAAGATTTATTCGAGACATAAAAGTGTTGGCCGATTAGCTGTTTAAAGCATGTCACTAGGCTGTTCAAATTGCTTAGAGTGAATGCGGTCACACTTTACTTGACTATATAATTACTGAAGGGTAGCTTGTGGGAGGTGCATCGGTGTCACAGTGGTAGAATGCTCGCCACACTACACATGTGGTCCGGGGTTCGACCCTCGGCCGACGACGCATCCCGTAAAAATAAACATCACTGCTACTGAAAATTCAAGCCTCTAGCTTGAAGTTCTGTGTTTCGCTAGGAAAGTAAAGGAATAAAAAAACAACTTATGGGAAACTATCTACCAGAGAAAATGGAGATCAAGATTGTCAGTTATGATAATTTAATAGTGTGAAATATTCCCATATCATGAATGAATTAAAAGACAATCTGAACGAAGAATATTCTCTTCAATAATAATTCCTCCTTTTCAGGTTCTTACACAATTATAAAATAGAATATTTGTTGTCGTTACAATAATGATAGCCAGCTATGCGGCGAATACATTTTTTTAACGTAGAACAACAGATTAGTTGTGTGTTGACAGAATAAATAGTATTTGTGCGACAAACGTGCTAGACTGGAATCGATTACAAAAAGATATCCAAAAAAAGAACATGCCCAGACGCTGTTCCTTCCATGGCCAAAGCTGGATTAATGATTCTTCTTCTCACCAAGAGTGCCTCTTCCCCTTGACCCTCTTGGGTTTTTTTCTTTGCTATTATTATTAGACATAATTTATACCCTTCATTCAAACATTCTCTCAATACTATCGAATTTCCCATTTATACTATCCGGACTTATTATTATTAGTGATGTTATCTCTTCTCTCAATATATGCTTCCGTCTGTTTCATTTCATATGTTGGTTATTTCATGATGAACTTCTCATTGCAGTCCTACTATCTCCTCTTTTTTATACATACCACTTTGTTGATATTACATGGTTGGAGGCAATCGGCCGCAGGAAGCCTTGCCCGACCTAGGTTTCGTGCTAGTTGGCAATCGCCAGTCAGTAAGGTGTATCTGCAACCTTGAAGCAACTCATGTCTCTTCTGAGATTCGAACCCGCGTCACCTTGTACTAGCCACTCACCTGACACCGTTTATAACCTTGAACTGACATTCAACGAATCTATTATGACTAATCACCACCATTGTCTCCCATTTTACCGAAATATTTTGTAATTGATTTCAGCCAACTAGCACGTTTGTCACACAAATACGACTATTTATTTCGACACTCCATAACTAATCTGTTATTCTACGTTAAAAAAATGTATCCACCGAATAACTGGCTATCATTATTGTAACGACAATAAATATATTATATTTTATAATTGTATAAGAACCTGAAAAGGAGAAATTATTATTGAAAAGAATATTCTTCGTTCAGACATGACTTTTGATTATGAAAATAATAATGATAACAATCGAATCTTCCAAATTTGCAGTACACTGGAACCACTCATCAAAGATCGTTATGAAGACTACTGGTTGTGTATAATTTTCATTCGTAATGAATTACAAGAGACGACAGTGTGATAATTTAGATCATGGAGGGCTCCAACAACACATCTCCACTTTGTCCTATCTTCTACCGTCCTCTTCAGCTTAGACCATGATTGCCTAGAATCTCTCATCTCCTCCTCACATGATCGTCTCCATATCACCCTCACACCGATGACTAACTCGTCGCTTCCCATTGGGATTCCACTCGACCGATGGCCTGCATTGCACGCGATGTCATTCGACGGCTTCCTCAATGTATTCCCGATCAATCCATTTCCATTTTCTCCTACATATTTGTTGAGCTATTGCCTCTCGCCTATTGGTTTGTTCCCAGCCAGAGTTTCTTGTTACTAATTCTCTCTGGCTAGCCAGCCAGCTATTTGATCTTCAGTAGGGAGTCAGTGAAGGTGGCAGCTGTTGATGAAAGTCTGCAACAGGCTGTTTGAAATCCTTCTCGTGACGCGCACGCCAGGTTTATCACCTATGTAGGAGAACTGACTGACCAACTTGCGATTGGTGTTGAAAATGCAAATCTTGTTGCTTATACTGAGTACGGAAGATTTCCAAACTGGTTTCAGATTGATAAAGGCGTATCTTGCATGATCTGTACACTATCATAAATGGGAATCAAGAAAACACGCGAAATAGTATGATGGCACATTTACTACTGATTCGTATGGAGTAGTCAAACGTCAGTATTTAGATTAACTTCGATCTGATTTGGGTGGTAGACAACTACTTATTTCAGTTAGTCAGTAGTAGTATATACTTTTATCGGTTTAAGCTTGATTTCTTTGATTACCCTTTATAGTGTCAAACAGATCACTGATTATGATCTGAATAATTTCAGTTTCTGAAGGAAAAACTGGTGAAAACTCGGCTCCTTTAGCTATGTACACTGCAAATTGTCAATATAACTTATGGCATGATTTTTTTTCCTTCACGTTCCCCAGTGGAACATAGGGCCTCAAGTTAGTGGCTTGAAGTTTCTGTAGCAGTGTTTAATTTTTACAGGATGGGGTTGCTAGCCTCATGCCCAACCTTTCCTCTTTACCAGCATTATTTCTGGCTTAGTGAGGTAAAGGAGTGCGTCGGCCGGGGATCGAACCCCGAACCATGTGCATGGTCGGCGAGCGTCCTAACCGCTATGCCACCGACGCTATGGCATGATTAGTTGGACCAATTAACTAGCCAGAAATCACGTGGGCTGAGTCAAAGTGGATACACCAGTGATGAGCTCGACTTCGAACAAGTGAAACAGCTGTTTCGGGCGTTTAGATTACCTCGATAGCCACTTATGGAATCAAGCAGATCACATACTGTGCGGTCTGAACAATTTCGGTTTTCAGAGAATAACTGCGGTGAAATTTCGCCTCCTCAGATTGTGAAAACATCCTTTATCTATGAGACATCAAAAAAAGCTCACCAAGAGTAGAACCGACAGGCTTTGATTGTTTAGTTTTCTGCTTTCCTAACAGATATCAACTGTTGAGTCTGACATCTGCTGAAGCAGAATTGATGCGTAGCTGGTCATTAGACATCGTTGTAGTGTCATTTGTCAATATTGAACCCAATAAACCCAATAGAAGCGCTTTATTCAAACAATCTGCTAACGACTCAGAAATAATCTAATTAAATGATAACCAAATTGATCAGTTAGTAAATACCTTTTTTTATCGATTGCCTTTTAGCTGTTCAACATGAAAGAGGGCCAAGAAATTCTACGCTACGTCGACAAGTAGCACTATATTTAAACGATGGGCATCATAAGACACACACGAATCGTCAATCAAATCATCAATATCATCAACACCAACTGTCTCAACTATCCTCCTACTTACCATCACGAGTTCCTCCTCCGCCGCCTGGACCATCCCCGCTATCAGTATCGCTGCAGTCACCGTCAATATTGTCTTCACTATCTTTACCATCTTTACTATCGTCTGCATCAATGTCAGCACAATCATTCAATACAAACCCGTTGGTTGGCGTTAATCTGTCTGCCCCAGTGAATTTAAACAACACAAGTAATGGCAATATACAAGGCAATAAAATTCTCTCAGACAACCAATTTTCGATGAATGATATTTTAAATTTAACTAAATCCCCATACATGTTTTTCAATTCAGCCTTGTCTCCATCCTCATCGACATCGTCAACATCAACATCGACATTATCACCATTCTCTAATTTGACAACAACAAATAATATTACCGGAACTGACAATATCCTACCTAATTCAGCAACAATGTTTACACCAACCGCCTATTCAACAGCACCAATCAATATAAACAACAATCCATTCAGCTATTATTTAAATTATTTGCCTTCAATGTTCAATTTTTCGAATTCTTTCGATCTGTCCGCAAATAATGAAACGCTGAATTTAGTGAAAAAGACCACTTCATTAAGTGATGATGCTACTGCATTGAATAATACCAGTAATACTACTGTCACTCCTCTTAATATTTCTACTACTGAAAAGAATATTAGTAGTAGTAGTAGTAGCATGATTGATATGAGCAGCTTTCATAAAGAAAAACAGCCTAGATATGAGACAAATGAATATGAAAAGTATAATCGACAAGAATTCTTGTTGAATCAAAGCCTGATGAACAAATTTCAATTGTATCCGACAGATTTAATACAGCCGGCGACAACAGATGTCACTAGGCCTAGTAACAATACCACCACCAACACCAGCACCACCCCCAACAACAACAACGGAATGACGTCATCATCAGTACAGACCAGTAAATCACCACTTTCATCATGTGCAAATATTAACATGACTGATACTGAGATACATAGTGCTTGGAGTAAAGCATTAGCCTTTGCCAAGTTGTGTATGCCAGATTTATTTATTGGAAATTTAGACGGAGTAGCACAAGACTCCATGGATTTTCATCAGTCGACTGACTATGCTCACTCATTGTTATATTTCAATTCATTATTGAAATCATGGCCATGGATAATGCCAACAGTTAATAATGCATCGACAAATTACTTACAGTCATGTTATATGGGTAATAGCAATAATAATAATGCTAATAGTAGTGCTAATACTGATGCGAGTAACATTTATTCTAATCATCAGGAGATGTGTTTTCCAGGTAGTAAAATTGCAAGCTCATTAATGCTTCCCATGTTATCATCATCAATGGCATGTCAAACATCTTCATTGTCTCCGGAAACACTTAATCCTTATTCATCATTATTAAATTTGCCTCAGGTAACTATGACAACGCCTATGAATGATGAATTAAAACAAAATTTAAAGAAATATTCAAATTCACTTATTTCAAATGAAACAGAATTAAATCAAAGGAAAGGTGATTTATTTAATCAAAAAGGTTAGTTAATTCACTGGACGCTCTCTGTTTTCAGCTTTTTACTTTAACTACTCATGAGTAGGTAATCTTTATTTGAGTAATTATTCCATTGAAGTTTGTAGGGATTCGGCTCGTTTCAAGTTAGGTTACTAAGTGACAACAGTTCGACAATTATTGGATAATAGATAGTAGTAGACATCTGTTTCGTTCTGGTCGAGAAGTTCTCAGCAGTGCACACTTACGGTCCTATTCATGTGGAGTCAAACCGAAGGTGAACACCTGCACGACCCTAGCACTTGATAGGAGTCCAGTGTATGGCCCGTGAATTTCAAGTTATGTTTCTTCACCTATAAATGTTTTTTGTATAAATTAGTTTTTCTGTTTACTAGTTACTGTGTTGTAAAGAAAAAGTAAGGACAGTTTTATTAATTCAATCAGTGTTCAACATTCAATTGTGGAATCCAATTAAACTTGGTCAATGTCTCTAATGAATAGTTGTTTGTAAAGTTATCCGAATTATATCAAGAAGCAAAAAGAATTTCCAAATCAATTTGTTTATTAGATTTATCACAAACACAGTCTGTGAAACAGTGTTGTTATTGTTCACTGGATGACACAGTTTCGAACACAACTGCTTAACGGTTCATAATCATATCATCAATGATAATCACACAACTTCGAAACTTGAGTTTTATAGTTTTCTTTGCTCTTTCCTATTCGTCGTCGTAGGGATAGTAGAATTTCCCAGATGTCTGACTGGATAGGTGTTGAATCATTCCTATTACACAAAAAATAAGTAGTACCAAAGAAAATCTAAGACAGGAAATGAGGCATATAAGAGAAGCTTTGAAACTTAATAATTGCCCTGATAAATTAATCAGGAAGTATGTAGGAAAATGTAAAAATAAAATTAATAATAATGGTAGTGATAGTGATAATAGTAATAATAGTAATAATGATGACGTTATGCATGTCAAACATGCACAGGATAATGAAAACATAAACAATAAGGAATGTAAATCATCAGTAGTAATCCCATACAAGGAAAGAACCTCGGAAACTTTACGCAGAATTCTTAACAAGGCAGGCAGGAATAAAAGTGGCTGGCATTCAAGCTACCCACAAACTCAATTAGAAACAAGCTTTGTCGGTTAACGGATCAATCCTGTGGAGCCTTTAAAACAAAACAACTTAGTTTATCTAATACCTTGGCCACAATGATTGTCAGGTCAAATACATAGGTCAAAGTAGTACAACAGGTGCAGTCAGTCAGACTAGCAGAGCATAAAAACCTGGCAGCAAAATCTAGATTGGTTGACCCGAATAAGATAAGAAATCTGCAGAATAGTTCAGCTGTGCCACTACATGCAATTACACACAACCAAACATACAATAGACTGGGATAGGATGACAGATTTAAAATCTAATTGAAACACGGTGGAGGGAGATATTGATGACGGAATCTTTGCTTGCCGAATCAAATGCGAACATGTGTAATAGGAATGATTCAACACCTGTCCAGTCAAACATCCAGAAAATTCTACTATCCCTACGACGACAAATAGGAGAGGACAAAGAAAACTATAAAACTCAAGTTTCGAAGTTGTGTGATTATCATTGATGTGATATGATTATGAAACGCTAAGCAGTTGTATTCGAAACTGTGTCATCCAGTAAACAATAATAATACTGTTTCACAAACTGTGTGATATGTGTGGAATTACATACATACTACCACAGTGTCCAAGTTGTTTTTTAGTTATATATTTTAAGAAAAGAATTTATTATTTTATCATATGACTTATTATAATAATAATCAAACAGTTACTTTGAATGATGTGCCTAGAATACGTACGTTAAATGTTTCAATGTCTGTTCAACTTTCAATATTTCTCCATGTATACATGTATACAATAATAATATTTAACCATCTTCTCCTTGTTAATTTAGATACAAAAAAATGTCAGTTAACTGTAGCATCGAATGAATTGTTGTCACCGTCATCAGTATTATTGTCAGGAAGTCAGTCGGTGAAAAATACATCAATCTTCACAGAGGCTGGCTTATTGATCAATAATAATAATAATCATCCATCATCTCTGAATCAGATCTATGATCCAATATATGAATATAATAAACCAGGTGATTTACTCTTGCAGTCACCTTTCTTCCCTCCTTCCTCAACAACAACAACAACAACATCGTCATCATCATCTTCGAATTCTTCTTCTTCTTCTTCTTCTTCGTTTTCGTCTTCAACAGTCTCCTCACCATCATCATCATTATCATCGACATCAGCGTCGACATTGTCATCAGCCCTGACATCAACATCTCTGCCGTTATACATGCAGCAATTTTACTTAAGTCAAATGATGTTTCAAATTATCCAATGGCTGTGTCATTATAGACCAGATAATAAAATTCTGGAGAATTTCAATTTTCCCATAAATAAATTCGACATGATTAATTCAATGTGTAAACAATGGGATCTGTTATTCAGTTTAACATTATTTATAGAATTTTATAAAATGTCATTAGGTAATAATAATAATAATAATGGTGAGATGAACGATACTGATGATAATGGTGATGATAATAATGATAAGGCTGAGTATCGTTCAGTTATGCTAAAGAAAATGCACTACCTATGGATTGAATTCGTTTGTAAACCATTGGCGAGTTTATTAACTTCTACTATAAAAAGTCAAGATACAGGTGAGTAAATTTGCAAGTGTTTTACAAGTGATATCAGTTAGTAGAATCATTGAACAGCTATTTCGTCCTAGTTTGTGACTCTTCAACAGTACTAGAAGTGACAATTCCTGCTGATTTGTGTCAATGTCGGCAAGTATCTGTCCACAACGCCAGAATGGTGGACTTAGGGGTCACAAACTGTCAGAAGAATTCTATCCTGTGCCGCTGAGGAGCCTCAAACTAGAATGAAACAGCTGTCAATGGATTCATCAGATTTTAATGATTCTCTCATTCATTTCATTTCATTTCATTTCTTACCTTGATTTCTGAGTGGAACAAACTTCAGTCTTGAAGTTTTGATAACAATGGTTTTATATTTTTACGGAGTGTGGTCGCTAGCCTCACGCCCAACCTCCCCTCTTGACCGGTCTTACTACTGGCTTATAAAAGCAGGTTTAGGGTGCATAGGCCGGCGATAAAACCCTGGATCACGTAAGTCATGGTCGGGGAGCCTTCTACCTCTGAACCACCGACGCAATAACCATTTCCTAACACAAGTCAGAGAATATGGTGCTCACAGTTTTGACCACGAGGTGATATCAGTTAGAGAACCATTGGAAAACCACCGGGAATTACTAGACAGGTTGTGGTTTTGTTTTATTTTGGGACTCTTCAACAACACTTAGTCACTTGGGTTTGAATCCAGGACAATGCGGTCACAAGGCGAACTGGCTGACAGACCGTTGAGCGACAAGGATCCAATCCAATTCGCCCATGAATTCCAGCTGCTGCTGATTCGCAAGACATATAACGCAACTACCAGCCACTATCAAAGGCGAGTAAGTTTTTCAATGGTTCTCTAACCGATATCAACTTGTCATGATGAAATCCCCCAACCAATCAAACAAACACAGCTCCCTACAAAAGCCAATACTTGACAGTTATCCCATCTATTGATTGAACAAATTTAATTTCAAGATAAACAGTATAGCCCTACTTTACTTAACATTCCTAGTCTTCAACATTTTTTCTCTCTTTTCTTTTTCATTTCTATAGATCCAATAACTACTCTCACTGAGTCGAATTCAATTATCCAATTATTCAATGAATTTATTGTTTTAAAATTAAAAGATGATGAAATCGACTGGTTGAAAATGATGATATTGTTTAATCCATTAATGAAGAATGAGAAGGAGAAGAAGACGAAGAAAATCGATATTAACTCAGATATACACAGTAGTAAGTTCACAACATTGTTGACGGTTCAACTGATTGATCTAGAGGTTCTTTTTGTTTATTATTATGATATTGGCTGCATAAAAAGTCTTTTTGACAGCAGCGTTCAGTCTTTGTCTAGTTATCAAACTGCTATGATGCCCCATATAGGGTAGCTTGATGTACACGTCTTTCTTAGGGGCCAGTTGTAGAGTGGGTCTTGGTGTTCTGACTACTTTATATCTCCTGATGAACTTATCTGGATAATTGTTATCAACCAGAGTTTGTGTCAACTTTCTTTCTTCCTCATCAAGTGTGTCTTCAGTGCATATTCGTTGGATTCTACTGAAGAGGCACCTTACTAAGGCTCTTTTGTACCGAACAGGGCAGAAACTGTGATAATTAAGATACTGTCCTGTCCAGGTAGGTTTTCTATAAATAGATCTTTTTATTGACCCATCAAGCCGTTGACTAAGCAATATGTCTAGGAAAGATAAACAATTATCTTCCTCTTCTACAGATGTAAGTGGTATGTTATTCTGAACTTCATTCATTCGATTTAAAATTGAGATGGCAGAACAAGACTTATCACTGATGATTACAATATCATCTACATACCTTCTATAAAGTGGTACATTTTCGATTAAATCCTCCGATAAATTCTCAATGTACGACATATAGATATCTGCTAAAAGGGGCCCTAACGGACTTCCCATAGCAACACCATCAACTTGGCGGAAACAATCGCCTTCAAATGTAAACCTAACATTGTTAGTACATAGAAGTAATAAATCCCTTAAATAAGATATAGGGAACGGGATGAAAAAATTGCTTGTGGAAATATAATCACACAAAATGTCAACTGTTTTGAGCAAAGGCACATTAGTGAATAACGAGTTTACATCAAAAGAGTACATATTCTTATTCATAATATTAATATTACTATCGTCAAGAAAATCAACCAATTCAAATGTATCTTTTAACACATACTTACAGAATTGTGTTTTAACTGGATGCAATAATTCTACTAACCATTTAGCAAGTTTATGTGTTGGGGATTTGCACATTGACAATATAGGACGTAGAGGATTATTGGGTTTATGTATTTTTGGCAAGCCATACATATGCGGGAATTTACAATCTGATGGTTTTAATGAGTCAAATTTATCTTTACTTATAGCATTTAGGCCCTGAAGCTTCAGTAGATTAGCTGTCACTGTGCCCTGCAACAATTGAATATCCTCTGAGGAGGGATCACGGCTAAATTTGCTTTTATCATCAAGAATAGACATCATTTGAGATTTGTAGTCACTTTTATTCATAATGACGACCCCAGAACCTTTATCAGGTTTCGTAATAATTATATTAGAATTTTCCCGTAGCTCTTTCAAGGCTTTGAAATGCTGGGAATTTAAAATACTTTTCTCCTTTGGGTTGTTGTTTAAAAACTGATTAGCTATATCTAACATCTTGGCCTTAAACCAAGACCCACTGTCCAACTCGCCCCTAAGAAAGACGTGTACATCAAGCTACCTTATATGGGGCATCAAAGCAGTTCTTTTTGTTGTTTTTTTTTGTGTTTTTTCACTTCTTCAACATCACTTACTTCCCCACTTTATTATTAATCCATCCTGATTGACCTTAATATATACTGTAAATTTGAAAAGGGTTTAAGTAATACTAGTAGCAATAACACATTCAATGGACAGAAGGTGAGGTTTGTCGCGGGGAAAGAATTGAAAACATAAAAGTCACATACAGAGAATTAATATTCATTGGCTTATCCCTTCCTTTCAAAAGTGGCAATCTCATCTGGTGCTTGAGTGGTAGGTCAATTTGCGTCACATGTTCACGTGTCAGATTCAAACCTCACCTCACCCCACCTCATCTCCCCTCCTCTGCATCCAGTGATTGATATATCCACATAACAACAGTTCACTTGACTACAAGTGACACAAACACACACACACGCGCAATAATGTAATTAAAAAAATCAAGGAAGAAATGATGGAGAAGTGACCACATGTCTTGTTGCCAACCTTCTGTTGCCACCGTTCAAGTTGAACTAAGAAGCTACTAAAGAGCGATGGGGAGAGGGGTGGGGCGAGAGTGGGACGGAGTGCGCTGAAGATGACTTTCGTGATGCAATATTTCTTCTCCTTATTTTTTTAATTAAAAATCAGTTGGAAAGCATTCTTCACTTTTATTCACACACACACGCACACATCCTATAAGTGGACATACTCGAGAAAGTTTCCTTTAAAAAAGATGAGCATATGTATCTATGATAAAATGAAGGAAAAACACTTATAGTTGCTGGGCTTATTGAGCATTGAAACAGTAAAAAATGAAAATATCAGACACGCAATTGCATAAATAAGTGTTACAATATTCAATTGTTGGTTTGTAAGGATTAGATTTGCGAGTTTACGAGTTTAACCACGGACTGATATCAGTTAGAGAACCATTGAAAACCAGCCAGTCCAGGGAGTACTGGACAGCCGATGATTCCCAAACTAGGCTGATGAAACAGCTGTCCAGTACTCCCTGTGGCTGGTTTTCAATGGTTCTCTAACTGATATCAGTCCGTGATCAACTCGTAAAAACAAATCCTACAATAGTTAAGTAAGTGTTTATAAAAAGAATAAACTAAATCCTTCCTCAGATTGTTCCAGTAACACCGATTTTAGCCCTACAATGAACAGAGTTATTGGTAGTAGTGTGGCGTGTATTACTGATAAGACTAAAGAGATGCTCATAGGCATATCGATTCACTTTATGGGATGCGGTCTCATACTAGCCTGATACTGGCCCAACATTCCCAAACTTTTCTACCAGGATAATATGTGAGCTCATCCTTTTATTATTTCGAGGATTCTTCTCAACTGGTTACAACCTGAACGATGAAAAATATGAATTAAAATTAAAGATTTGAATATACTACATAGTTGGAGGCAATCGGCCACAGGAAGCCTCACCTGGTCTAGCTTTCGTGCCGGTCACCAGTCAACAAGGCATATCTGCAACCATGAAGGAACAACTCATGTCCCTTCTGAGTAGATTCGAACCGGCATCACCCAGTGAGTACTGCAGTCACAGACGTTACCACTGAGCTACTCAGGCTGGCTATTGACCTCTTGTAGGACTGTAGTGGGTATTTTGATTGGACACTAGTAACTAGTGTGACGTGTCTAGTCCTTCTTTTGTGCAGACTGAATTCTATCAGTCAGGTATTTGCAATGTGGCCACCATTCTAGGTAGCTCGCCATCACGGTACACATTGATTTGATATTAGATAGTTGGAGGTAATACTTTTCTATGATCACAAGGAGTAACTGGTAGGAAGTAAAAGTAACATTAGTCCGGAATGATGATTTAACTAATTAAGAGTTACAAACACTGACTGTTTATACAGTAATTAGACAATTAAGCTTGGAAACAAAAGACAGAGTTGCGTATATATATACAACTTTTATGAGTCACCCTTTTTTTGTTTAGAAAACTCTACTCTCTCATCTAAACATGACTCACCCTACATTGTTCTTTTCTTTTTTCTCTATTGGCTATTAGATAAAACATTTTCTTTAGTTACGTAATCTACTTTTTTGTTATGCTGTTTCTAGCTAAACCTTGTTTCTATACACATATATATACGCAACTCTGTTTTTTGTTTCCAAGGTTAATTGTCTAATTACTCTATAAATAGTCAGTGTTTGTAACTCTTAATTAGTTAAATCATTCCGGACTAATGTTACTTTTACTTCCTACCAATTACTCCTTATGATCGTGGAAAAGTATGTTCAAATCTTGAATGTAATTTATATTTTTTTATCGTTCAGGTTGTAACCAGTTGAGAAGAATCTTCGAAATAATAAAAGATGAGCTCACATATTATCCTGGTACAATTGTTGTTCTTGCTTTGTTCAAGTTTATTAATGGGAAGAATTGCATGAAGTTTTTATTCCCAACTTTCCTGGTTTAATACCGTCTAATCGAGGTGTTTATTATTTTTTTTTCAACTTGCAGGCATGTAGGACTTTAGGGACTGGTGAGCATTCTGCTACACTGATTCACCAACCAAATTAGGGGCTCTTAAATAATACTGTATAATGTGTGCTAATAATGTTCCCGGGACTTAAAACAATATTTGACAGATTCGACTGTCAGATGGTCAGCTGAATCTGAGATGAAGTCCACTTGTCTCTTGGCGTTTTTCCATGTCCGGAATAAAGTAGACCGGTCAATCAAGGCTGCCTGCAAAAGCCCACTAGTCTATTTTTTATTTTATTTTATTTTTGATTACAGCTTGATGCCACACCGTATTTTCAGTACAAGTATGGAATTTTCAGCATGGATATCGGTATCCCAAATTTGCAGGCCGACCATAGATATCGGGTGTGCATAGGCAAGGGATCGAACCCCGGACCATGTGCATGGTCGGCGAGAGTCCTAACCACTGTGCCACCGACGCACGTTAAGAAACTGTTTAAGTACAGATCAGGAATCGTTTCTCTACTCGGAAATCAGCGTTCCTAGAAAGGAGTATTCGACCTCTGATTCGTAAACTGCCCTTCTAAAGTCAACTGTTAGCCATTATCAACTAAAGATATTTGAAAACAAACTTGTGAAAGCCCGAAAACCCAGCACCGGATATCCAACTCACGGTTGATGATTAGTGGTCAACTACAAGAAAGAAGGAATCGGAGCTGGTAGTTCTTTCTAAGTTGACGAAACTGGATGACGTGAATTGACAAAAGACTGAATTCACATGAAATCACAGACTCTAGTTCAAAGTTACATAATCTGAAGATTCTAGATGCAATCAATCCCCTGTAGATGGGGTGATAGGTGCACCATACTACTGACGATTTCAGAACTAGATTGAAGCACCTCTTCATTGATCAATGCTTTCTCAATTGGTCTTTAGATGCAATTGATTAGTGGTGCAATCTATCATGAAATCACTGAATTATCGTTGTGGTCAGTACTTCAGTTATATTTCATACCTAGGCGATGAAAAAAACCGTATAATTGATGGAGCCATAAAATTTCTTTAGGCGGTCTGACTGAATCACTGGGATACCCTGAATTTCTATCTAACATCCACCCATCGCATTTTCTCTACTCCTTGGGTCACAAAATTTACTCATCAGGATGCGCATTTCATCCTGCCTGGGGCTCGTCATCTGGATGAGTGATGGTGTCCCCACTGAGGCTGGAACCCAGTGTTTATCTTTTCAAACACCAAAGCGTTATCCACTGAATCGTCTGGGTCATGAGAGCAACCTCTTGATTTTCCTGTTGATCGACTGGACTTCAGACATCGTCGAAGCCTCCCGCTTTAGAAGTCAACATATCAACACAGGCCAAACACTTCTGGTTACACACAGTACAGAAATAGCAGCATAATTTCTTGCGAAATATCCACTGTCCGTATAGAATATTCATCGACAATCTGTAGTATGATGTAATGGGGTTCAGTGTGTTACAAGACCAACTCCTCTTTGACATTCCTCCTTCATTTTATTCTTGAAGCTCAAAGTGGTAGATTGGAAGTCAATTAAAAATTTGCATGAGTTCATGTTGTAATTCAAAGACATAATTGGAGGATTAAAACAAGGAAAAACAAAGAGAATTAGATGTATCAAAATAGTAGCTCAGTAGTTTAAACAGTTCGCCAAGTTAAAAATGTCAAACATTTATTTACTGTACAGATATTTATTATTTTGTTTAAACTAACTAATCACAGTCACATATTTTTGTTTTCTTCTTTTTTTTTCAAATTTGATTTCAATTTCTATCTAGAATCTTTTCAACAAGCCAGAGATTATGCTATTCGCTATTATCAAGTTGTTTTAAAAGGTTGCCCAACACGTCAAGGTCAATTGATGCATTTACTTCAAACACTTCATTCATGTATTGATTTACCATTGAATTCATCATTACCATGGTTACGACATTATATGGAGTGTATATTTCAATTGAGTTCAGATAAACTTGAACCAGTTATTAAGCATATGGTTATAGCAGCTTTACAGACATCTGAAGGGATTACAACATCAGCCTGAAACGTCAATATAACTCACCAGCTTCTCTTCTCTTCATAATAATATCTACCTCATTACTACTATGGAGAAGAGTTAGACGTTGGTAACATTTAAATGAATCACAGATTTCCAGATATCCTTTACTACGACGTCTCTACATATTCATGAATGACCACCAAGGCAAATGAAAAATAAGCACACAGACACAGACAAACACACAATGTTTTCCCCCTTCGTTTTTCTTTCAATTCATTTCTATTTTTGTCTTTTTCTTTTCTAGTATTTTATTTCAATTGATTACCAGAATAATTCTTCGCCTGAAGTCCTTTTCTTTCTCTTCCTCCCTTTCTGGTCTTTTTTCGCCGTTGTTGCTGTTGTTGTCGCCATCGTCGGCGGCGTTTAATGAAGGTTTACCAAAGATAATAGTAGATAACTCCATGACAAATGTCAAGAGATGAATTTCATATACACATAAACACATACATATACTATTTTCGAATTTATTAGTTATACTACTGATAGAGTACTCTTAGTAGTCATTGTTGTAGTGCTACTCATATAATACACAAAGAAAGAAAAAGTACAACTAATGAGTAGAGTGAGTGTTTAGGAGTTCAAATGTTTTCTTAAAATATTAATTAGTATGACAACATTTCTTGATGAATGCCACAACGTTGTTAACTGCTTAACTCTTTCCCTTTTTTCAGAAGGTTATAGATAATGTTTTAACGCACAAATATATACACGCACTGAAGAATGCTCAAAAGCACACACGCACGCACGCAACCATACACATCACTAATAGTAACTAACGCGTCCTTTCGCCTATTTTCTAGTTTTGTCTTTATACACAACATATTACTCAATTAGTAGTATATATACAGGATAGTCCTTTTATTATTATTATTATTGATAATATTATTGTTATTTTGTAAATAGGATATTTTATTTGAAAGATTACGATGATACTACTACTACTACTACTAGTAATAATAGTAGTAGTAGTGACTTATTATGAATTATCTCAACTAATTTGCTCTCTTTTTTTGTTTGTCTATTCCTTACAACTTCGGGCGGCGATGTGTTGGGTTGTTTTGGGGTGAGTAGGATAGAAGGGTTGGGTGTATCATTAGACAGTCGGATAGATTTTCACTGTTTTCTCCTTTCCGAGGGGAGCATAGGTCTAGGGAGCTTGAGTTGTAAAGTTTCACAAAGAGGTGATGAGACGGGGGTGGGGGATTGTTGTAGTGTATGATCTCTGATGTACAGCTGAACGAAACTTTCTTCAGAAACATACACAGTCACAAAACGCTCCAAAGACAATAAAATGACATTTTATCCAAGTGGTAATGTTAAACCAGAATTTACAAAATCCACTTAACTAATATATATATATATATGCTGCATGACAAGTAATCCACAACGGGAAACTTACGGAACCCTTCGAAGTGAGGACAGGAGTAAGACAAGACTAGCTGGCTGCCTACTATCGCCAATGATTTTCCTGATTGCAGTAGATTGGATAATACGACAAACAGCGGGTAATGAGGAAGCAGGCATAAAATGGACTCACACAAAATACTTGGAGCATCTGAACTTCGCCGATGATATATGTCTGATTTCCCACAAACTGGAAGATATGCAAGTGATGAAAAGTAACAAGTCGGCGATAGAAGAAGCATCAAAGAGAGGACTTCAGGTGAACATAGAGAAAACAGAGGTGATGAAACTTCCTGGGCAACACCACCACCACCAACAACAACAGACAACAATCAGTATAAATGGAAGGAACCTGAGAGAAACAACCTCTTTTACCTACCTACCTGGGAAGCATCGTTTCAACTACAGGCGAACGGATTTGACGAGGATATCAAAGCAAGAATCGGAAAAGCAAGACAAGCTTTCACTACTCTCAAGTCTCTGTGGAGGTCAACAGCACTCAGCATCAAAAACAAGATCCAGATTTTCAACTCCAATGTGAAGTCAGTCAGTGCTACTATACGGATCAGAGACTTGGCCAGCGCGTCATAAAGAGCATCTCAAACAAACTACAGACCTTCATTAACAATTGTCTTCGCTCAATACTCAAGATCAGATGGCTGGCCAGAAAATATCAGCAACAGAGATCTCTGGCAATGAGCGAACCAACACAGCAGGAACCGATTGTGAAACAAATAAGCAGAAAGAAATGGAGATAAATTGGCTGGCCATACTCTGAGGAAACCATCAAGTGACATCACTAGACAAGCCATTGCTCGAGTGGAACCCGACCGAAAATGAAGCAGCGAGTTGGTCGTCAGTGCAAAGCTGGGGTGACTTGGAGGAGGTCATGTGAAGAGGAGATGAAAACGTGTGGGCGGACTTGGAGCCAGGTGAAGACTCTATCAGAGAACCGAACGCAATGGAGACGCACGGCTGAAGCCCTATGTTCCTCTAGGAATTAAAGGAAACAATTATATATGTATATATATATATATATATCAGAACAATTAGTCTCTTTGATAAATTTGAGTACGGCATTAAGAAGACAAATTCGGCGAGATGATATCATTTCGAAGTTTCTTTACAACCGCTTTACAACTAACATGGTTAACAATAATAAAATAAAAAGAATGACAATTACTCAGTTAAATAAAAAAAAAAGTAAATACCAATGACCAATCATATTTACATAGGTCATGTTGTCCATGGTAGGCGAAGATTGAAGTCTATTGATTTTTGTACACACAGTTTAGGCTGTATGTGATTAATCCCCCAAAGTGCTTCCATCACCTTCAATAACCTTGAATTCGAGTTATGTGATGAAATAATTGTGAAACAGTCATTAATATCTTTATCAACCTACCATTCAAGGGTAACCAGATTATGCAGTTGACAGCTAGCTCAAAGACTTCGGTCAGCCATCAAACCCACATTCTACGCCGTCGCATCTCTTTTTCTCATTTGCCGAACATTTTCGATCCCTGTACCTACAATTAAAGGACGAAATTCTGTGGACTCTACTTCAAACTGTATGTACAAGTTCACCTGCAGCTGCGGTGACACCTATATAGGTAGAACCAACAGAATGTTCCAATGTCGAGGTCAAAAAGAACATGTTCCAAAATGGCTACTAAATCATATAGAAAATCCCAACGCGATTAATCTGAATAAAAATCCAGCATCATCCATTGCAAAACGCTTATTAATGTCAGGTCACAAAATCAATATTAATGACTGTTTCACAATTATTTCACATAACTCTAATTCAAGGTTATTGAAGGTGATGGAAGCACTTTGGATTAATCACATACAGCCTAAACTGTGTGTACAAAAAACAATAGACTTCAATCTTCGCCTACCATGGACAACATGACCTATCTAAATATGATTGGTCATCAGTATGTACTTTTTTTATTTAACTGACTAATTGTCATTCTTTTTATTTTATTATTGTGAACCATGTTAGTTGTAAAGCGGTTGTAAAGAAACTACGAAATGACGCCATCATCTCGCGAAATTTGTCTTCTTAATGCCTTATTCAAATTTATCAGAGGGACTAATTGTTTGTATATATATATATATAAATTGAATATCCCCATAATTTATTCAGAACAAAATATTTAGAGCGAAAAGTTGTTTTCAATACATTCTTCGTCAGGCTCTACGATTATAAATCCATTAATTTAAGCATACAACAGCCAGCCAGTAAAGGCAAATTAGAATCATATCAGAAAGTGTATTGTGGAACAAGTATAATAAGATGGGATGGAACAATAGTCAGTTAGTTTTTTTTAATATGCATGGTCAATGAGAACATGGGACAAAATGAGATGAAGTAATTTAATTTAATATGATGTGTGTATATATATAAATATAGTCAACAGAAAATACAGGTTTCGAGAGTGTGTATTCAGGGTGTGTGAGACAATATGAAAATAAACCAACGAATGGGGCGGACTAAATAATCAAGGTTGAAAATAACGACAATAAGAATGATTGTAAAATAATAACGATGAATATAATGAAGTGGAATGAACAGGATTTTGTAAATACGATAGCAAGTTAAAAAAGCACTATTTAAACCTAAGGTAATAAAATCATAAGAAAGGTCATGAAATCATAAAAGTCGAAAGTGAACGTTTGTCAATGAAACAGAGGAATATAAGAAGAAGGAAAGAAAAAAATTGTGAAAGGAATTTATAGTGTTAATGGAGGATTTGTTGGCTTTATTGTAGGTCAAGGTAAACATAGTGGTTGAACATACTTCTTCTGTATGCAAAGAGATGGTCTTCTGGTATTAATTGCAACCGCTTCAGCTACTGATAAAAAATGTAGTCGAGCTGCTCTAGATAAATTACTAGGAACGCGGTAAATAACTGAGAAAGCCTGGTCAAGTTTTATCGGATGTCTAGTATCTACCAAGTGAGCTAAGACTACACTATTTACGCATTTGGTTACTCCTTTACTCAACCATACAGGTACATGTTCACGCGCGCGCATGGATAAAGCCCTCTGAGTACGGCCAATGTAACTAGCTCCACATGAGCAGCTGAATTCATAGATGCACATTGATGAGGCCATCTTTGGTATGAAGTGCTTCTGATGATATTAGACGTTCCTTGTGATTTCTGAAATTTTACTTCTGGATTATTTCAATATTATCAAAATCATATTACGATATATGTGTAAAACTTGGGCACTGTGGTAGTAAGTAATATATCACACAGTGAAACAGTATTATTGTTCACTGGATGACGTTTCGAACAAAATTTATTGTTCACAATCATATCAATTATAATCACACGACTTTGAAACTTGAGTTTTACATATTTTTTCCTTCTCTCCTATTTGTCGTCGTAGGGGTAGTAGAATTTCCCAGATATCTGGGATAGGTGTTGAATCATTCTTATTACACGTGTTTGAAGTTGATTCGATAAATAATGCTTCCGATATCTCAATCTCTCCCTCCACCCTATTACATTAGATTTTAAAACTGATAACGGAAGCTTTGTTTATCGAATCAACTGCAAATACGTGTAATGGGAATGATTCAACACCTGTCCTAGATATCTGGAAAATTCTATTACCCCTACAACGATGCGTCGGTGGCACAGCGGTTAGGATTCTCGCCAACCATGTCCATAGTCCGGGGTTCGATCCCCTGCCAACGCACACCCGATGTCAAGGAACTTAGCCCTAAGTTCCTATTGTAATGAAGACGTTTGCAACCGATAAAGACTGTGTATTTCTTTCAACTTTAAATCCAAAAC